AAAGCTTACAATGCGATAAAGAAAAAGATTTTTTTTTAAATCATGTGCATTATAAATAAATATAATTTGTTTTTATTCGTTAGTCGAAAAATAGACAAATAGACAGGTTGTAATTGAAACGAGTCTTTACTAGCAGCATGTTACTTAAAATCACGAAAAAAAGTATTCAAAAAAAATCGAAATAAATAATTTAAAAGTCAAACCATCCATCCATTTTTGAAATCACAATTTTAAAAATTAAATTAAACTAAAAACTTAAAAAACATATAACATATTGAAATGCATCAAGAGCAAGGCAATTGACAAAAAAATATTAATATCTTTTTTGAAATTAGTCTAATATATTTTTTAATACTGAGACTTTTTGTTTTAATGACAAATATATTTTTCCTTTTAGTAAAGAAGCCTCCTTCGAATAAGCAGTTTTTATAATTACCGATGTGTGGAAAATTTACTGTGCATTTATAATAAGATTTGAATAAAATTACATATGTAATATGCAAAGATCGAGTTTTCGCAATGTTGTTTCATTAGATTACATATCAGGTATGTAAAAGAACTTATATATTAAAATACGTGATTTATTTTAGAACAATATGTCTAACAATGAAGAAAAATATTGCCCTGCAGTACTAAATTGTAATGTAATGTCAATAATTATGATCGTAATGTCAGTTAGAGCATCAAATGTGTTTGCTATATCAAAAATTCCATTTAAGAAGGTAAATTATAAGAAAGTTAATATCAAATATGGAAACAAAAAAAAAATGTCAATGAGAGCTATAAAAATCAGATAGAACAAAATCCCACTTGTTCGACGCAAATAGTTGACAAAAAACATTATATGTTATATTATATTTTAGTTGTGATTCTATTTTTATAATATATGTATATTAAGTATAAGCACTTGTTTGTTTACTCTAAGAGTTCTTGTAAAAGCATATTTGTGATTGAGTTAGGATGTATTTTGAACAATGTACTTTGTTAGCATTTCTTATCTTGAGACCATATTTACTATATTATATTTAATTTATAAATCAAGATATAATTAGATAAAATGACTCAAGATAGAACACTTCTGCAATATAACCAAGCCATTTACTAAACTTTAAAAAAAAAAAAACTTTCAGGAATGAATTTGAAAAAAGCATTTATAAAAAAATTGAGATAAAAGATTTAGACCAATTTGTGATTGTAAAAATAAATATATGCATAATAGAACAAATAATGAATTTTAGTTGCAATTAGTAGATTTCTTTATCAAAATTTAATGTGTAAGATATAAGAAATATATATTATATTATATTTATATTATAATGAAAGTATAGAATTAAAATTAAGGTAAAAAAGCAGTCGATATATTTATCTATAAAGGCATTATTTGTAATTTTTTGCAATTCTTATGTAGTTTGCATTGTTGCGTTGTTGTGCTTTTATTTTACAACAAAAATTATTGCGTGAGGAAATTAGAAAAACTAATGACAAAACTGCATAATATATTGAACTAGATAAAACAAGTGAAACAAATAACATTTAAAAATTCGAGCCTCATATGCTCAAGTTTATTTAATGCATTTCGAGTGAATTCAAGTAGATGAAAAATTACATTCAAAACTCACAATTTAAAATACATTTAAAAATGCTTTGTTAATGTAACCAAGTGATAACGATATATTTAATTGATTGAGACAAATGGCTCATCATTTACAACAAAAGCTAATAATTAATTAATATTAATTATCAGTTAATACTGATAAAAAATGCATCCGTCTAAGAATTTATATTATCTATACAGTTTTAGCTATAGACAAAATTACAAAAGTGGCTAACAACTAACCTTGAGAGCAATCTGCCCCCAGTCCAATGTCTGTCGCAAACACATTGACCACTTTCCAAATCATAAACCCCATGTTCGGAGCAACCTGGCAAGCACTGATAAACTTGTTCATCGACGTTTCCGCAATCTGGACCTTGCCATCCAGCTTTGCAGTAACATTGACCAGCGACACATGTTCCATGATTTGAACAAGTTGGATCCAAACAATCTTCTACAAATGCAATATTAAACATATTAGAGAAAAACCAAAGCAAATATTCGTAATTTGCATCTCAATAAAAAATCCTAAGAATCATTTTTTACTCCAATTTTGGTTTTTACTTATTTATTTATGGCTAAAAAAAACTATGAAAACATATTTTAGCTTCTACCGTGCTCAATAATAGTATATACGGTTATAAATGTTTATAGTTTTAAGTCTGCTAAATCAGACCATTATTTGTTTAAATTCTTAATTTCTAAAGTATTATTTAAAAGCCAAGTAAACAAATTTTCAAAACATAAGTTAGTGAAGAAAAACGGTAAGGCTTCCAAGTCGTACCCTGGCAATATATTAAATTATCGTTCATCATCTGGTACCGTTATACAGAACTATTCAAATGTTTACACCCTTAATAATTATGCGATTCTAAAAATTGTTTCTTTAAATTTTTATTATTTATATTACTTAGTAGACAACAGTTTAGTCATGAATAATTATTAGACTTTATATAGGTAATTGTCATTAGTTTTATTTTCAAACTTTTCACAGAGTTAACAAAAATCTTATTTTTGCGGGAAAAGGCCATAGGTGGCACGACTACGGTGACAACGCAAAAAAAATACATATTTAAAAAAAAATAGAAAGTGCTAATCACAATTCAACTGAATCAAATGCACTAAATATTACCACATTATTTCCTCAGAGTACGACTTGCAACCCTACCCTAATTGTAAAATATAATAGATTATATATAAATAAAAGTACTCGTTGAAGAAAGACATGAAAAACCAGCTCTTAGTCTTTCATATCAATCAATTTATATTCTGACTATCGATAAAAAGTATAATGAAAAAAAAGATTCTACATAAAAGTAGCGAAAAATTGTACATATTATTTAAAATACAATTACAATAATCAAATGACGATAATTAAAACTTCAAATTCACCTAATTCACAACGTGCTCCTTTCCATCCTCGTTCACAGGTGCATTCGCCTTGTTTGCAACGACCATGTCCAGAACAAGTCGGGTCTTCACAATCATGTTTTGGCACATCACATTCAGCACCTTTCCAACCTTCTTCACAATGGCAAATACCACCTCCGTATTGTCCATGAGAAGAACATAATACAGGACAAACCCTGAATAAAATGATAGATGTTTCATTATAAAAATATAAATATAATAAATAAGTTGACTTAGTCAATAACACTTTTGCTACAAATGTCGTCCATGGACTACATCCCCCCATAACCTGCTGTGTGTACGAATGTCGTCCATGATTTATCACCGAGTTAAAACTATTAAAATTCTCGTCTTCTATTGTAATTTCTAGTTCGCAGTTAATATTTTTTAACTTTCTTATATCATACAATATATCGTTCTGGGCACGCTGTTTCGTACAGCAGCGGGACTTCTGCAGAAAACACTCTCGTAGCAAAAGGAATAATATAAAAATATTTTAACACGTGTTTTTATATTGCTAATTTGAGAACTAAAATATTTTGTTAAATACAATAACAAACAATGCATGCAAAAAATGACGAGTATTTAGTGCTTCCGAGATGACAGATACTGATTAATTAAAAAATGCAACTCCAAAGTACTTCAGTGCTATTAGATACATAACTCAATCTTGGAAGTCACTCACAACAAAAATAGCAGAATATATGAAAAACAAATGATTATTTACAGAGTTAATAAAAAATCGAAGGCAATTTCAACATTGAATTGTTATATGAATAGTTCGAGACATTATTCAGTGAATAGCTCAATGTAAATTAATTATATTTGTATATATAATGCCATATCGCACTATTATACTATTATCGAATCTTAGAACAATATACATAATATCATATAATCCATATGCTAACAAAGCTAGTGCAATATAAAAATCTATTTAAAATTTACAACATAGAAAAAAATATTGAAGACGATACGATAATTCGAGAAATGAAATAATTAATAGCTAATTAAGAAGTCAATGCAAATTAATAAAGTCAAAAACAAAATTATATTATCAGGTCAAAAATAATTGTCGAAAATAAGTAGATAAAAAATAAAATGAATTTGTGATAAAAATAAGTATTAATTGTTCAAAATAGAAAAAGTATATTATAATTAATATACTATTAAAATATTAAAAGACATTGTTTTAAATGCTTAGAAATACAGCTAAAGCTTATTTAACTGATTACTGAATGCCATTTGGCGATCAAAAATGAAAATACAATATTTAAATATATACATAAAATAGAATTATAGATATAGTATACAAAAAATTGTTTCTGAATATGCGTATGAAAGACAATTATTATTATTATAGTTACGGTTTTGTGCTTAAAATTTACTATTATTATTGATTGTTGTTCAGATACAAAGAGTAAAAATAAAAAAAGCTTTTATGTAACTGAAATATAAAAATGCATCTAACTGAAGATTTTTTATACTAGAATTATAAATGTTGTAAAAATAATAAAAAATAATTCTAAATATTCTTTTGCGTGCTAATTTCTAATTATAGTTACGTGTTTGTAATCAAAATAACGGTTATGAATAGTAAACGCAAAGTCGTCATAATTGATCAATTCTAGATAACAAAATTTATACGAAAGGCCATCTCTTCTAAATTTAAGTGGCATCTAAAACTGATTGTCGATTTGTAAACATTAATATTGTAAGATTACTTGAATCGTTCAAAATTCAATGAATTTAATATATAACCGAACGGCCAAATTTCTGAAATCTTATTATAAGTAATATGTAAATTGTTGAAATTATTTCTCTACCTTGTCATTAGAAAATAAATTTTATAGAAAAGGCTAACTTCTAGTGTAATAGTGGCTAAAATATATGTTGTCGATTTGTGAAAATTGGAAATTACAATAAATTACTTAAATTGTTTAAATTCAATGAATTTAAGATATAACTGAACGGCCAAATTTCCGAAATCTTATTAAATGTAATATTTAGAGATAGTTGAAATTATTCCTTTACTGCATCATTAAACAAAATAAATTTTATAGAAAAGGCAAACTTCTAGTGTAATGGCTAAAATATATCTAGTGGACTTGTGGTAATTGAAATTTACGATAAATTACTTCAATCGTTCAAAATTCAATGAATTTAATATATAAGCGACTGGCAAAAATTCCGAAATATTAAAAATAATATGTAGACGGTTGAAATTATTCCTTTACTTCTTCGTCATTAAAATAAATTTTATCGAAAAAGCTAACTTCATGTGTAATAGCTAAAATATATCTAGTAAATTTGTGATAATTAAAAATTACGATATATTACTTTAAGTATTCAAAATTCAATGAATTTATATAACCGACTGGCCAAATTTCCGAAATTTTAAAAGTAATATGTAGACGGTTGTAATTATTCCTTTATTTCGTCATTAAAAATAATTTTATCGATAAATCCAACTTCAACTGTAATGGCTAAAATATATCTAGGCGATTTGTGATAATTGAAAATTACGATATATCACTTTAGTCGTTCAAAATTCAATGAATTTAATATATAAGCGACTGGCCAAATTTCCGAAATTTTAAAAGTAATATGTAGACGGTTGCAATTATTCCTTTATTTCGTCATTAAAAATAATTTTTATCGATAAAGCCAACTTCAACTGTAATGGCTAAAATATATCTAGGCGATTTGTGATAATTGAAAATTACGATATATTACTTTAGTCGTTCAAAATTCAATGAATTTAATATATAAGCGACTGGCCAAATTTCCAAAATTTTAAAAGTAATATGTAGACGGTTGCAATTATTTCTTTTCGCGTCATAAAAATAAATTTTATCGAAAAAGCTAACTTCAAGGGTAATGGCTAAAATATATCTAGTCGATTTGTGATAATTGAAAGTTACGATATATTACTTTAATCGTTCAAAATTCAATGACTAAATGACAAATTCCTGAAATCCTAAAGTAATATATAGACAGTTAAAATTATTCCTTTACTCCGTATTAAAAAAATAAATTTTATAGAAACAGCTAACTTTAAGTGTAATCGTTACAAAAATATATCTAGTAGATTTGTGATAATTGAAAAATTACGATAAATTACTTCAATTGAAGAACGCTCCGAGAATGATGGCTATAAATCCTGAATATGAGAAAAGGTATGACAACTTTTCAAGTTGATTGATCACAATTGTTTTATGAAAAAAAATTCAATGATTTGTTACAACTTTAAACATTTTTCTTTAATGCTGCTTGTACAGACAAAGCGCTGAAAAGTGAAACAGAACCGTTAATAGGGTAACTTGTATAAAAATTAACAATTGTGTTCAGATTGAATTAGACTAATAATGCGAATGGAAACAAATTTATTATTACTTATTATATAACTATTATTTGTCGAATCTAACTTTTTTGTACTCATTGCATTTAGTTATCATTGCAAAAGTCTTAAGTTTGTTTTTTGTATAATAAATATGAAGTCATCCTTGAATTTCATTAAATATTACCTGAGGCATACATAAATAGTAGGTAATGAATTTTTCAAAAATATTTTAAATTGATACTAAAATTTTTTATTATTGCAATATGTTGATTTTATTTTAAAATATTTCATTTAGTTACAGTAATTTTAAAGTGTGATATATTTTTGTAGAAAGTGTTCGATTTGAGTGTTTGTTTTATTCCATATTATTACTAATATTTTAGATTTTTGGTTTGTTTTTACGTTTTTAGTGTTCCATTGTGATTAGCTTATGCATTTTTAGGGTGATGCTTTGCGTAACCACTTGCTTGTTAGGTATTTTGGAAAAAGTTTTACTCAAAAGCCAGAAACGGTTGAGCTGGGCGTTAATTTCCAGTTGGCGAATGTGACTCATGGACCAGGCGGTGAGATACTAAATTAATTTAGTTTGCTTTATTTATATATAATCTAAAAATACAGTAATGTTCCGCACACAACGTACTTAAACATTACCGTTTGAGGTAAAAAAATAGACTAATAAGACCAATCAGAAAACCTGGGTGACCCAATGCTGTTCAAAGAGTGGATCTTGGAAGTTATTGCTCCTGCTGTGAAAATATATTTTTGTTGAAGTAAACCTCTCTCTTATCATTCGATATTGCATCTTCTCATTCCAAAAATCTTGAGGGAATTTAAAGGATTATTATAATAGAGGAGAAAAGGGACAATTGGCCGCACCAAAGCTCTTTCTTCTCAAATTAAAAGAATTTCAAAAATTTACAATACTCACTTTCAAACATGGGTTATGCTAATAAGATACACAATTTTACAGTGATTATTATTTGGAAGATCTTACAAAAAAAGAAAAAAACATCATACGACAGATTTTTTGAGAAGCTAATATTGCAAAGAAGGAGTCAAGACCACTCTTTTGAATATTACTATGGAAAAACGTGTTCTACATAAAAAAACTTGCTTTTGGAACGAATTAAGTACGTTATGCGAGACACCACTGTATAAGGCAACACGAATGCGACATAGTACATTTTTTTATGTAAAAAGATATACGAGATATATAAGATTTTCCAAAAGTTATAATATAATATACTATATAACTTTGAATAATCATATTAATTCACTACGTTTATTTTAGCCAAGCTTCTTAGTCGTGCTGGCAGAACTTTACACGAAGTGCAAAGCCATTTAGATAGAGAAGGTGCATCCGATTTAGTAGTTGAGTTAGTCATTAAATCAATTCACTCTCCATCAATTTTTGTGGAAGCTGTAGAATTAGGTATTGCACTTCTTGAAGGAGGAAATCCTATCATACAGAAGAGCATGTTTAGTAAACTGCTTGGCGGAGATTTGAGCCAAGCATTCTTTAAGGTAATAATAAAAAACATTACTAAATTAAGTTTTAAAACTCTATTTAAATTTGATAATCGGTAACATAAAATCACAAGTATTATTTCTATACATTTATTTTGTTTTGCAAGCAAATTTTATATAAAATTAAAATTATATGATTATCAGCATTGTTGTTTTCATTTTTTATGAACACCATTGTTTGTTTAAAAATTGAGCTTTTTGTCGGAAAAAATGTTATCTTGTTTCAGTAGTATGAATTATGTTAATTATTACTTTATTATATTTTTAGGTGTTTTATGAGAAAATGCGTGATGCACAACAAGAAATTAAATCTACAGTGACTGTTAACACTTCTGATATTGCTGCTAAAGCTCACGAGGATAAACAGGACAACAAAGACCATGACAAAATATCGCGAAAACATTCTGGTAACTTAACATAATAATTTATTAGTTAACACATTTGGTAAATAAAACATTTATCCTAATTTATATACTTTTATACATTTTTTATAGAAAAACCAAACGGATTATTGCTTACTGACGAGCTTCGTGATGAAATTAACCAAGCAGCAGCAGCATCAGCTCAAGCATACGCCGGGGCCAAGAATATTCCACCAGGCACTGAACATGGTAAGATTTGTAATTATTTACACTTAGTAATAATAAATTGTTAATATAGTCTAATCTTAATTTGTCATTTTATTTTATATGTATATTTATGTTTTACCAGGCGAGGATTCTTGTCCAGTCTCATTAGGATTAAATCAGCTTTGGAAGATATGTTGGCAGAAAAATTAGATAAGCATCGGGAAATTGAAGATCAAAATAAAGTTTCTGCTAAAGTACTAGTTATGCAGCCAATTCTGAGATTTTTGCAGTTGTTATGTGAAAATCATAATCCGGAATTACAGGCTAGTGAAAAATATCTTAATTATCAAATTCATATATTCATATACAGTTTTTTATTTTTGTATTTATTTATTATAAAATTTAATATTCATGATATATTTATTTTTTTTTTTAATCAGAATCTCCTGAGAAATCAAAATAACAAGACAAATTTCAATTTGGTTTCTGAAACGTTGATGTTCTTAGACTGCATTTGTGGTTCTACACAGGTGGTCTAGGCTTATTAGGACTATACATAAATGAACACAACGTTGCCTGATCAATCAGACTTTAGAAACTCTTACTGAATATTGCCAGGTAAATATTAATTAAATATGCAATATAGATGCTTATTACCATAGATTAAGAACTTTATGATATATATATATATATATATATATATATATATATATATATATATATTCAATAGATAAGTCCTTGATTTTTTCAATGTATTGATTGTTTCTTTTCCGAACAGTAAATCCAATAATAAAAAACAATTTGTTTTTTGAAGATGTTTAATACGTCGTTTCGGAACTAGGTACGTTCCATCATCAGGTTTATTCTGTCAAATACAATGTTTTTTAAAAATATTGAATAACATTAATTAATGATGGTCAATACAGATTATTAGAAAAAAATTTTTATAAAGGAATGGATTATGTACCGGTGTAAAGAGTAATAAGAATTAACTAAAAAAGGTTTTATATAAAATTGAGAAGCAAAAATTATTTACCTGTAATAATTTAAACAGGTAAATAATTTTTGCTTCTCAATTTTATATAAAACCTTTTTTAGTTAATTCTTATTACTCTTTACCCCGGTACATAATCCATTCCTTTATAAAATTTTTTTTCTAAGTAATCTGTATTGACCATCATTAATTAATGTTATTCAATGTTTTTAAAAAACATTGTATTTGACAGAATAAACCTGATGATGGAACGTACCTAGTTCCGAAACGTCGTATTAAACATCTTCAAAAAACAAATTGTTTTTTATTATTGGATTTACTGTTAGGAAAAGAAACAATCAATATATTGAAAAAATCCAGGACTTATCTATTGAATATATATATATATATATATATATATATATATATATATATATATATAACCGTTACTTCCATTGTTCAACCCCAACTTTGGATAACGTTTTATGATACTTAATTAAGTTAAATTCAACGTGTTTATGTTTTCAGTTTGTATTTAAGATTTTTCTAATTATTTTTATATCTAAAGGGACCATGTCATGAGAATCAGAACTGCATAGCGACTCATGAGTCAAATGGCCTGGATATTATAACGGCGTTGATTTTGAACGACATAAATCCATTAGGCAAAAGTCGTATGGATCTGATATTAGAGTTAAAAAACAATGCTTCCAAACTATTGCTGGCAATAATGGAAAGTAGAGGCGATAGCGAAAATGCGGAACGAATCCTGTATAATATGAATCCCAAACAACTAGTGCGTTCTATTTTATTTAATACCAATTGCTTTATAATTATTATTAACTTTGTGTTGTATTTTCTTCAGGTTGACGTAGCCTGTCGCGCTTATCATCAAGAAATTTTAGACGACGATGACAATCATGAAGATGCCAATGATTTAGATGATATTGTTTCTCCCAAAGAAGTGGGTCACAATATTTATATTTTATGCCATCAGTTAGCTCAACATAATAAAGACTTAGCTACACTATTAAAACCAGCTGAGACTAATATAGATCCGAAAATGAATCAAGCGCTTTTGTATTATGCTACTCATACTGCTCAAATTGAGGTGAGGTATTTTTCTGGCTTTAGGAAATGATTCTTATTAGAATTTAAAGATGTAAAGATATGTAAAAATTTTCAGTTTCCGATTTTTTTGCAATTTCTATAACTTACCATATGGGAAGTCAATAAATAGAAATTTCAATCTATTAACAAAGTTTTAAATATGTCTTTCAAATATCTTTGTTTTAAAGATCTAATTTTTGTCAAAAATTTTGTATGTGCTTTTGATTAATTTGGTTGGAATTTCATAAATATTTGTTTGTTGTAAAATAATGTTTTTTTCTGTTTTTTTAGATTGTCCGTAATGACAGAACATTAGAACAAATTGTATTCCCAATACCTGAAATTTGTGAATACATAACAACAGATACAAAAATTAAAATATTGAATACTGCTGAACGAGATGACCAAGGATCTAAAGTTTCTGATTTCTTTGATAGAACTGGACAAATGTTCAATGAGATGCAATGGCAAAAGAAACTGAGAGGTTTGGATAATATTTAGGTAACACATTACTTGATTTTGATCATCATTTATGCGAAATGTGTTTAACTTTTAGGTCAACCTTGGTTGTTCTGGGTTAGCAGTTACATGTCACTCTGGAGTAACATTTTGTTTAATTGTGCTGTACTTATAAATATGATTGTTGCATTTTTCTATCCATTCACAGATAATGTGCCAAGTAGATATACATTTCAAAATAATTGTTGATAACTTATCTTTTGAGTGTGATTTTTACAATGTTTCTTTTTAGACTTAGGTTCACATTTATCACTACTCATCTGGGCTGTAATGTTATTATCTGCCTTTATAGTTGTTACACTTCCTAGAGAATCTGGTATTCGAACTTTAGTAGCTGCCACTATATTAAGATTGATATTTTCTATAGGACCTGAACCTACGTTACGATTGCTCGGAATTCTTACGGTAAATGTTTTTAAATTGAAATTCATTCTGGTCTAGAATTTTTAAAAAATCGATTTTGTTTTTTTTCATATTTTCAAAGTTTCCAAGTTATTTTTAAAAAAGAAATTGTAGAAAACATATTCTTCAGAATGTTGTTATTTTGTGAAAAAAACATTTTTTAACTTTCTTCTCTTATTACTATGCTCTTATGTATTTTTCCTATTTTAAGGGTGATTTTAAAAGGAATACACTTGGTTAGTATCATGGAAATCACGGTACAGTTACTAAACCATTATTCAAGATTATAACAGATGCAGAGTTATTATACCATTGTTCGTACTTAATTTTTTGTCTACTCGGAATTATGTTTCACCCATTTTTCTATTCAGTGCTGGTAAGTATAATGCAAATATTAATTTTATTCATCACTTTGGTGTTTTTTTTGAATATAACTTGATTTACAGCTATTTGATGTTGTTTACCGCGAAGAAACCCTATTGAATGTTATTCGATCTGTTACAAGAAACGGAAGGTCTATTATTTTAACAGCTGTACTTGCTTTGATTCTGGTTTATATGTTCTCGATTATTGGTTACATGTTCTTTAAAGATGACTTTTTAGTCAGTGTTGATGAAGAAATTGTTTGTAAGATCACAATTTTCTTTTAGCACTTTGTGAGATTAATACATATTGTTTATACAGTTTTTATTTTTATTTCTAGCGAAACAAGAATGTGAATTAGATCATGGAATTGCAGAAGATGCAGCACTGAAATATACTCGAGAAGGTAAAAAAAATACGGTATAAAGTCAAAGTATTATCCATTAACTATATTTCTATTACCTTCTAGGTAATGAAGGCAGTTCCGGGAGCTGCCGACGCGCTGAGTCGGACGGTCCAGCTCCTGGTGAAGTTGTGGTTGGTGGAGAAATTAAGGAACGTGCGTGCGATTCGCTGATCATGTGTATAGTCACCACACTAAACCAGGGACTTAGAAATGGAGGTGGCATTGGAGATATTCTGCGAGCGCCTAGTAGCAATGTAAGATAGTTTTTATTAACTCACAAGGAGAACAACAGGTTTACTTGTTTTGGTTTTTGATCAAACTTTGCATGATGATAGAGTAGATAGTCGAAAATAACTTTTTGGAATATTAGAGTCTTATGAGAAAAAGTCTTTGAAAATTGAGAGAAATTTGAGAGAAATTTCCAATTTATCCATGCAATTTCCATACAAAACTTTGATTGAATTTCGCACTATCTAAAAAATAATATTAAGAGCTAAAACTTATAGAGGATTTTTTTTATCAATTTGGAAGCATTTGATCCCCTGGGAGCAAGGAAATTCGAAAATGTCCATATTAAGGACCACCCTAATATACATATATCAATTTTCAATAATAATATGTGTAATAAATAATATTGTATAAAATTAATTATTAATTTATTACATATACTATTATTAAAAATTAATATATCTGGAATAAAAATGAAATGAATATAATAATAAACAAATAAATAATATATAATAATAAAACAAAATTACAAGCTTGATTTTCGATTTATATGAGAATCATATTATAATTTAGCTTTGTTCTTAAATGTAATGTCTAATTATAATTGTATTGACATAACTGCATTTTATATAACAAATAATTTACTTTTTAGGAGGGCCTATTTGTTGCCAGAGTTATATACGATTTATTGTTCTTCTTCATTGTTATCATTATTGTTTTAAATTTAATTTTTGGTGTCATTATCGACACATTTGCTGACTTGAGAAGTGAAAAGCAACAAAAGAACTCATTTTGAAGAATACTTGCTTCATTTGCGGTATGTATAATAAAATATACATAGTTAGATAAAATATAACACCTGAATATTGTTTGCTGTATATATAAATATTTTTTCCAATCAATATTTTTTGCAGGACTCAATAGATCTGCTTTTGATAATAAAACTGTTAGCTTTGAAGAACATATCAAGTGTGAGCACAATATGTGGCATTATTTATATTTTATAGTACTTGTTAAAGTTAAAGATCCTACAGAGTTTACTGGACCGGAGAGTTACGTTTATGCTATGGTTAAGGTAACTATGAAAACAAAGCATTTTCTGCATTTTATATTTTAAGTTATATTATTTATTTTTATAAAATTTATTATGGAAAATAAACTGAAAGTTCAGTTTTTTAACTTGAAGTTCTGAAAGTTAAGATTTTTAAGTGTGTATTTAATTGTGTTTTTATTTATATTGTTTAAACACAAATTTCATAATTATTGAAACTTATTTTAATGTTTTAGACTTGCAATTTAGACTGGTTCCCAAGATTAAGAGCCATGTCATTAGCTGCTGTTGAAGGCGAGGGAGAACAAGTAGAGCTCAGGAGTCTTCAACTAACATTGGAAAACACACAATTGCTTGTCACCAACTTATCTCAACAACTAATGGAACTTAAAGATCAGGTTTGCCCTTTTGTTTTTTCTAATTTATCATTATGAGGATACGGGTTTCCATTACACTTCAAAATAGTTTGATAATTTAAATTTGTCTGTACAAATCGAAAATTCAGAATCCCTTCTATCAAACAGTTACAAATCATTAACTGGTGTTTAACATCAATTGAAAACCATAAATCTGTTGCATGAGTTTATTGAAATAAAAGTTTTATAATTTATTGTATAGAAATATGTGTGTTCATCTATTCATCTTGTTATATGTATATCAGGAAACAATGATATTTAATAATATATCGAGATGTTGCATTATAATATGATTCAACAAAATATTGCATTTTCTCGGTAATCGATATCTTTGATCATTTGATGTTATTTTATTATTTTTTTTATTATTTTCAGATGACTGAGCAAAGAAAACAGAAACAGCGCATGGGTCTATTGAATTCGGCCTCAGCTTACCTACACAATGTGCATGCAATGTGAATTCAATCATTAGACCTAAAACAGTGCAATCATTCGTGCAATTTAGGAAATAGATTTTTTTTAATCTCGTTCTAGTAGACTTAGACACTATGCACCATTTATGTCTTGTTTGATAAATTAATAGTCATTTTGGAGAGTTACTTACGAGTCATCTAGTGAATCTCATATTTAAAAGATACTTATTTATGAAAATATGTGTGATTGTAATAGAAGAAATAAATATATTAGATATTGTTATATACATGGTTATTTGTGTTGAGAAATTTCTTTAAGTTGTATAATAAGTGAGAGTAAAATGCAGAAAAAAGAAGCTGAACATTTTTAACTGTGATGAGCGAGCTGCTCTTATAATTCAAGATGTGTTATGTTGTGAGTCTATTACTCCCTTAATATTAAATCTAAATTTCTGGGCTCGTGAACCTTACTTCAAGTAACCAGTTAATTGTGGTTGACGAGTTTATATACTTGTTATGTGAAATTGACAAAATTTAATGTATTGATGAGTATGCTCGTCATGTGTTTAAATCAGTCTCTATTGGGCATCATTTTTTTTAAATTTGAAGATTTTTCTTTAAAATATGTTAAAATCACACACAATAAAATTTATTTGTATAAAGCCAATATTAAATCTTTGAATAAAATATTTAATTTTAAAAAATTAAAATTTTGTTAGTGATATAGGACATAAACAAGTATATCTAAATTATTTTGCTTGATAATAATCCATAAGGTAAGAATAATAATTAAGTAAACAACAAAACTATTATTCATTTACTTTTATTTATGATTCAAAATTACATATCCAATTTTAACACAACTATTAACCATTTAACAGTAACATATGTTTATGAATTATTGTTTTGTTTTTTAATTAAAGTATTTCTCTTGGTATTTCAGAAGTTCTAAAAATGTTTATATTTTTAGTGGTAAATTTTACAATAGAATGTTTTGGACCTGCCTTTCCAAGTTACACTACTTTTTGAGTGTTTGACAACATTGGTACAGAATCAAAGTTGAGTAACAAATTTTCAAGTTATTAATAATTCATGTATATTATTTATAGGTTTCTATTTTGTCAGCTATGAACTAGATGTTCCACGATTTCTGTTTATTTTTTGTATAAAATAGAATCTGTTTGCTTTTATGACTTGAAAATAATTTTTTATTTTTATTAAATATTAGTCATTTTGTATATGTATACAGAATTTGATGTGGACGTGTGTTTTGTTGTTCGACAAAAAAAGTGTCAAAAATAAAAACTAAACAAATTATAACTGTAGGAGCACTATTATTGGAATAATTCAAGAAACAATTTTTTACAAATTGAGATCATGTTCTACTAGTAAATACAAAAATAAAGTTTCTGCTTTCCATTATTTCACAAGAATGATGAATATGAAATTTAAATATTTGGTACCTTTCTTGTCGAGATGTGTGAATGTATATGTTTTTATTTGTGTGTGTGATTGTGTAAATGGTGTATTCTTTATAATAAGTAATTCAATACATTTGTCATGAGATAGTAATTTAAACAAGAAATATTTATATTAGTACTTTTCTTATTATTACTCATAAAATTAATATAAAACTTACAAGCATGCATATATTTCATAATATGTAGTTTCATCAGTGTGATGATAATATGATAAATCACAAATTGTGCCAATCGATATATATTTCATAAATGGACTTGCAAAAAAGCAGACACAGATCAAGAAAATATTTCATAATGTATTTATATAACTGGGTGGATTTAATTAAAGATATAATTAGGGTAGATAATGAACATAATATACTATAATTTTAAATAATATCTGATCTTTCAAAGTAGATATTCCGCAAATTAAATCTGTGAATTGTGAAAGCAAGTCAGTAGCACGTTTCATTTTAGAATATAATAAATCTATATATTAGCAAAAGAAAACAAATTTAAGTAATACATATTTTAAATTATTTCTATTTTTATTTTTTAATACTTACTAACTATATATATTATCAGAGTTGTGTTTGTCAGTTATTTGCTTATTGCGTTTGGGGCTTATGACATAGATTATATAATTTATATTTATCACTTATATGCATAACATATGTATAGGTAAATACACATGTGTGTGTGCAATGCACATACAATTCATAATTCATAATTTTTACTTGGAACTTGACTATATCTGAAAATATCTCTCCCGTTCAATATAATATATTTAAAAATTAAAATTATCTTCATAATTATATAAATCTTCAACACAACTTGTTATGTAATGCGATGCTTACATACACACATATATATTATATAGAATAAATATATCGATATAATTATTATATAAGAGATGTAGGTGTAGGGAATGATTGATAGAAATGAGTTTCTACTTCGTGATAAGTAATTTTTAAAAGAGTTCAATATATATATATATATATATATATATATATATATATATATATATATATAATGAAAATAAATATCAAATCTTTACGCAAATAGTCAATTGGGCAAGTCAATGCATTATATAAAAAAATATTTTCTAAAAAAATCTTCAATCTATCAAATCATTGCCCACAATCACTGAGTCGTATATACTAATTATATCTACTATTACACTCTACTTCTCGGATTATAAATAAAACATAACAGATTACATCACATTAGAAATCTTAGATGTGAAAATATTTTGATCAGTAATAATCATTTCACAGCACCATTTGTGAAACTTCAAACAACTATTGTCTACAAAAATTTCATATTTCCAAAATAAATTTCACAGAAAGAAGCCAAATTAATTCTAAATACATCTAATCTAATAATTCATAATTTCTTCCAAACGTTTTAAGATATTTTTTTTAATTCATAATTTGAAAACTTTTTTAAACCTGATAAATTATTTTCACAAGTTATTACTACTACAATTATTTCTTTTTAAGGAAAAAAACAAAGAATAATATATATGTATATATGTACATAAATTAATATGTACATATAATTTGACCTGTTAGTATATCTTCTGAAGAATGTAATAAATAATTTGAAGTAACAGTGCATATATATATATATATATATATATATATATATATATATATATGCAATTATAAGAAGAGAAATGTCTCATATAAGACAAACATTAAACCCCCATATCCCTGCATTTCGAATTGTAGTAGAAGAAGTGATGTAAAGAAAAACAACAAAACCTTAATGTATTAAAAAAAACTTATAACAAACAATAAATATTAATTAAAAAGTAACGTTTGGTAACATAATCATTGAAACTCAATTACAATATATAAATATATAAATAACTAAATATATTTAGATAGTCCTATTTAAAATATTACAAAAAAAAAACTTATCACTTGTCGCTTGTTAATATAAAAATATCTCACTCGTGATTTTTCTTAATAAACATAATGTATCAAATATTCAAATATTCAATTATAAAAATCAGAAGAATTACCAATTAATAACAAAAATAATTTAAAGGAATCTATACAGCCTGCAAAAATAGGTCTTAGAACATGAAGGACAGAGGGGAAAAATGTTTGATTTACTTTTCTTACCTAGACTACTTTACTAGACTGTTAGTTCACTTTTAAGATATATAAATTAGTTGCTTGAGCAAAGTAACAATTGCACACAACCAGCGTTATAACTCCATATCTTGTGCTTCATCCTCACTAAAATCTGACATACTAGATTCGGAATCTGAGCTTATGATATGGTCTTGGTCGCGCAGGGCTTCTTCTGTCGCGAACTTGCGCACATAATCTAAACAATAAATATAAATAAGAATTTTTAAAACTAAAATATCTTTTCCAAGAAGTTTCTGCTAAATATAGCATTCAATTATTGTAATTAAATATATTTGTTTAGTCAAAATTAATTAAATATACTAATGTTATATAATTAAAGTTAAATAAATATACTACTGTTAAATAAACTTTCTTTGTTGTGCTATATAATAATAAAATTCAAGAAATAGGAATATGATTCTGAAAAGTATAGTTAGGTCAGTAATGTTTGTGTTTAGAACATTTCTGTAATTTTGCTGTAAAATCTTGCAAATAATATTTATATATTATTTATGTATTATTTTGCAGACTAATTGACAATTTAAAAATAATTTAATCTTATTATACCTGCTACTTTCTTCTTATACTCTTCAGGCTTATGTAAGTACATAGCAGCCGCATCACCGTTAAGGGGGTCTATGGGGTTAGGATATGTTAGCAATTGCGGCAAGAATGATTCAAATATGTTGGACAGATCTGAAATGAAAATATTATATTAAATATAGTTACTATATATTTTCACAAAAAAATTGAACATGAATAAAGGTAAGTAATAAAGTAAGCACAAGGCTTAGAAAAAGAATGAAACTGTAATTTTTTATAATATTGAGGTATAACTTCTTTAGGCACGACTAGGGTGTAAATCCGTACAAGTTCAACGGAAATGCGTTACGGCAGATAATATAAGATGAGAATCGAGTGCCAATGATTCGTCATTCGCTCTCGATGATATCATTTCTATACGGGTCGATTGTGATTAGTCGTCGTGTATGTGAATAGAGATCTGGCGTTGTATGCGTACCGATATCAACAGGAAATCAGCATATATAAATAAACATTTTAAACTTACATCGTAGTTACAAATCTTGATTTAATGAAAAATGCCTGAATCATAAGAATATTTTACCCTGTTCCTTGAAAATAATAAAACAAATTAAACATTTGGGTCGTGTACTAAACGTAAGTTTATTGATTAGAAATTATTTCTATATTATTTGTAGTTTCTATAAATCTCTGAAGTTATTAAAATGAAAAATATTTTCAGGCAAGACAGATATTACAGCAGTTCAAAGAATGAGATTATATCGCCATCAAAAAAGTAAAAAAAATACAAGCAGTCACTGAATGTATGTTAATTTTAATTACATAAAGTTCTTCAAACACAATCGCATGATGAGTGAAGTTGCCAAAACAATATTTGTTTAGGCGTTGTTTAACATAATCCACGGTGTGAACAAATTTTATGGAAGTTATTAATCAGCAATTACTTCATTTCTCTAATAAAAGTTCATTTCTAAATGCTAATTACAATGACAAACCAATCATGTTATATTTGAAGTATGACTTTAATTATATTATTGTTTTAAAATATTATAAATATTTTTAATGCTATTATAAATATATAATTTATCATTATATAAATGTGTATAATGGTTGACACTAATAAATGAGCGCATCACAAGTGTTACCATATTACTAATAAACATTATTCAAAATTGTTATATGATGTATTTAGTTTTACTCGCCATCTTGTACAGTAGCAAATAAGTCTTACTTCAATCACATGTGTTCCTTACGCGCACTCTTTTTCTATATCTTTAAGGATCCTTCATTAGTTTTAAAGAAAATAACATAAAATTGTTTCAATACTTGAATACCTTACTCATATGCAATGATTTCGATTGCGCAAACAGTAGTATAATACATTTCATAGCTGTTTGAAAAGTGAAAACAACTGTGAATTAGAAACTTAAGACTATTAATTACCGTATAATGCAGTCCAAGCTTGGTTAATTACATCCAAACAAACTGTTCCTGACATTTCATCAATGTTGGGATGGTAAACTTTGTTCATGAATCCAATGCTTGGCGATTTGAAAGGATAATGCTCAGGCAGGTGTACTCGGACTTTCCACACACCACCTTCATAAGGTGCTGTAATAATAGATTTTCATTAAAAATTACAGATAATTTATTTACTTATATATTATTACTAGTAATGAACTTAGTAAATATATTTTCTACGCATATACATATATATATATATATATATATATATATATACATATATATATTAAATGTTAACTATGAACAATACAATTAACACTTTATTGGTAATTACAGACGTTTCGAGACCATGGTATGCCTCATTTCAGTGTGATTTCAAAACAGTTCCTTATCTACTAACACATTCTATAATATTTTATTTAAATTTCATTTAATTTTTGAAAATACAAAAAACACTTACAAAGCTTGACACAGTACTAGAACATGTGAATAGATACAGAAATATTTTAAACAAATCTTAAGTATCGAGATAAAGAGAATGTTGTTTTGTTGTTTTTGTATTTTCAAAAATGAAATGTAATTTAGATAAAATATTAAAGAATTTTTTAGTAGATAAGTAACTGTTTGGAAATTACACTAAAGATGAGGCATACCATGGTCTCAAAATAAAGTGTGTGTTAAAAAATCTGAGTGTTGGATTTATTTTTATATATTTAACATTTAATATTCGTTCCACTCATATCACAAAATTCTATATATATAATAGTTTCAATATTTAGCTAAGACAACAAAACAATTTAATATTGTGTAAACAGTTTCTTTTAATCAGACATTTTGAAAAAAATTATTGCATGCAATTATGTCTCCTATAAGTAACTATTAATATGGGTCTATTTGTCATAGCACATTATTCCATCATGAGTCATAAGAATTAGCTCATTATTTTAATTAAGCATTACAATAAAAAATAATATTTATTAAATAAGAAAAATTCTACTTACTTCCTCTTGGCCCAAAGAACTTTACACAAAATTCATTGAGGCCTCCAAGTATTGTTACCTCATGCTTACTTTCAATTCTAAAGTAAATGAAATAGGAAAATGATATGCAGAGCAAATATGTTGGAAGTCAATAATTAAAATTATTGATGTGAAAAAGATATGTATATAAACAATGATTTATATTAATGTTTCACTTATTAGAAAAATATTAACTTTTATGTCACATATGTATTTCGAAACATTATACAGCGCGAACTCCATCACATTAATGTTATCACATATGAAACACGTAGCAATTAATTAAAAGAACTTTTAGAGAAAATATAATGAATATTTCATTAAACAATGATTAATATATCGAGTGCAACATATTCTTATTCATAAAATGTTACGTCTGCTCGAAATTCTGTTTAGATTAGTGTTCGTAATTGACATGATCAGCTGACAAAGGCCAATGTTATTGTTTACATCTATACAACTTTATACGCAAAAAATTACCAAAAGGATACAATTTAATGACATCAGTGTCCATTCGTCTCTTCCCTGCACTTGGGGAAGACATTTTCTAATATTCTTATTTGGATTAATACACAAAAATAAACTTGTAAAATTCCGAAAAATATTCTATACGGCTCCGCTGCAACACAATACGTTTTACGTCTCACATACGAACTACTGCCAACTACATTGATAATGACACAGATTTTCGCTTTTGAGATTAGTGTTGCCGCAGCTGATTATGCATTTGACTCGTTACTATGCGTTACTGCTTCGGAAGTGCAGCAGGAAATAACATTTCGAAAAACATCGCGGCACACATAAAAAATAAATCGAATTAGTAAAATAATAATAGAAATATATAATTTTTAACAAAAAAAAAACTGTTGATTCAATTCGCTAAAAGCCTAGGAATTTATTAAGTTCTAAATATTTATATTTTTATTTATTAATTTCAAAAGCACCACTAATAATGATACATTTTTAATCATTAATAGTATTTACATATAACAGAAAAAAACATAAACAATAAAAAAACCTAGGTGTATTTTTAGGTCTATTTATCATAAATGCTTGGAAACATAAAATAATACTAACACAATTGTTAATATTTGCCTAAAAGGTTTAAATTTGTTTGAATTTAAATAGACTTTATTTGTTCTGCTATATAAAAAAAATATTAAAGAAATAGAAATAGATATCGCAAATTATAGTTAGGCAAGTAATATTACTGTTATTACTGTATATGTTTGTGCTTAGAACATTTCTCACATTTTGTTGTCAAATCTTACAAATATTAATTATATATTATTTATATATTATTTTGCCGAATAATAATACCATTTATAAACAATTTAATATTATTAAAATGTTATTATGGGCATCAGAATTCTGATTAAAACAAATTAGGTCTAATTGGACAGTATATATTAACAGTAAAATACTGTTTTTCTACATATTTATATATCATTTATATATTACATTGCAAATTAATTTACAATCTATAAACAATTTAATCTTATTAAAATGTTTTTATCAGTTTCTTAAGCGGCAGGCAAAATTAGGTCTGATTGGACTGGTGTTTATATCAAAAGTTAAATACTGTTATTGTAACATATTTATATATTATTTATGTATTATTTTCCAAATTAATAAACAATTTATTAATAATTTAATCTTATTAAAATGTTATTATCAGCTTTTTAAGCGCCAGACAAAATTAGGTCCAATTGGATAGTATATATATACTACTAATACTAATGCATATAAAAGCATATATAAATCTAAATTTCACCCTCTTACCACATCCCCTTAACAATATTATATAAATGGAATGATTGAGAATACTAAGAATTTTTAAACATATCTTTGAATGGTAGGTAGAGTAAAGGTAAAGTTAGAGCACCATATATAGGTAGAGTAAAGGTAAAGGTAGAGCACCATATATAGGTAGAGTAAAGGTAAAGGTAGAGCACCATATATAGGTAGAGTTAAGGTGAAGATCAAGCACGATATATAGGTAGAGTAAAGGTAAAGGTAAAGCACCAGATATAGGTAGAGTAAAATTAAAATTAAGCACCATATATAGGTAGAGTAAAGGTGAAGGTGAAGCACGATATATAGGTAGAGTAAAGGTGAAGGTAAAGCACCAGATATAGGTAGAGTAAAATTAAAATTAAGCACCATATATAGGTAGAGTAAAGGTAAAGGTACAGCACCATATATAGGTAGAGTAAAGGTGAAGGTAGAGCACCATATATAGGTAGAGTAAAGGTGAAGGTCAAGCACCATATATAGGTAGAGTAAAGGTAAAGGTAAAGCACCAGATATAGGTAGAGTAAAAATAAAATTAAGCACCATATATAGGTAGAGTAAAGGTAAAGGTACAGCATCATATATAGGTAGAGTAAAGGTGAAGGTCAAGCACCATATATAGGTAGAGTAAAGGTAAAGGTAAAGCACCAGATATAGGTAGAGTAAAGGTAAAATTAAACACCATATATAGGTAGAGTAAAGGTAAAGGTAGAGCGCCATATATAGGTAGAGTAAAGGTAAAGGTAGAGCACCATATATAGGTAGAGTAAAGGTAAAGGTAGAGCACCAGATATAGGTAGAGTAAAGGTAGAGGTAGAGCACCATATATAGGTAGAGTAAAGGTAAAGGTAGAGCACCATATATAGGTAGAGTAAAGGTAAAGGTAGAGCACCATATATAGGTAGAGTAAAGGTAAAGGTAGAGCACCAAATATAGGTAGAGTAAAGGTAAAGGTAGAGCACCATATATAGGTAGAGTAAAGGTAAAAGTAGAGCACCATATATAGGTAAAGTAAAGGTAAAGGTAGAGCACCATATATAGGTAGAGTAAAGGTAAAGGTAGAGCACTATATATAGGTAGAGTAAAAGTGAAGGTAGAGCACCATATATAGGTAGAGTAAAGGTAAAGGTAGAGCACCAGATATAGGTAGAGTAAAGGTAAAGGTAGAGCACCATATATAGGTAGAGTAAAGGTAAAGGTAGAGCACCATATATAGGTAGAGTACAGGTAAAGGTAGAGCACCATATATAGGTAGAGTAAAGGTAAAGGTAGAGCACCATATATAGGTAGAGTAAAGGTAAAGGTAGAACACCATATATAGGTAGAGTAAAGGTAAAGGTAGAACACCATATATAGGTAGAGTAAAGGTAAAGATAGAGCACCATATATAGGTAGAGTAAAGGTAAAGGTAGAGCACCATATATAGGTAGAGTAATGGTAAAGGTAGAGCACCATATATAGGTAGAGTAAAGGTAAAGGTAGAGCACCATATATAGGTAGAGAAAAGGTAAAGGTAGAGCACCAGATATAGGTAGAGTAAAGGTAGAGGTAGAGCACCATATATAGGTAGAGTAAAGGTAAAGGTAGAGCACCATATATAGGTAGAGTAAAGGTAAAGGTAGAGCACCATATATAGGTAGAGTAAAGGTAAAGGTAGAGCACCAAATATAGGTAGAGTAAAGGTAAAGGTAGAGCACCATATATAGGTAGAGTAAAGGTAAAGGTAGAACACCATATATAGGTAGAGTAAAGGTAAAGATAGAGCACCATATATAGGTAGAGTAAAGGTAAAGGTAGAGCACCATATATAGGTAGAGTAAAGGTAAAGGTAGAGCACCATATATAGGTAGAGTAAAGGTAAAGGTAGAGCACCATATATAGGTAGAGTAAAGGTAAAGGTAGAGCACCATATATAGGTAGAGAAAAGGTAAAGGTAGAGCACCAGATATAGGTAGAGTAAAGGTAAAGGTAGAGCACCATATATAGGTAGAGTAAAGGTAAAGGTAGAGCACCATATATAGGTAGAGTAAAGGTAAAGGTGGAGCACCATATATAGGTAGAGTAAAGGTAAAGGTAGAGCACCAAATATAGGTAGAGTAAAGGTAAAGGTAGAGCACCATATATAGGTAGAGTAAAGGTAAAAGTAGAGCACCATATATAGGTAGAGTAAAGGTAAAGGTAAAGCACCATATATAGGTAGAGTAAAGGTAAAGGTAGAGCACCATATATAGGTAGAGTAAAAGTAAAGGTAGAGCACCATATATAGGTAGAGTAAAGGTAAAGGTAGAGCACCAGATATAGGTAGAGTAAAGGTAAAGGTAGAGCACCATATATAGGTAGAGTAAAGGTAAAGGTAGAGCACCATATATAGGTAGAGTAAAGGTAAAGGTAGAGCACCATATATAGGTAGAGTAAAGGTAAAGGTAGAGCACCATATATAGGTAGAGTAAAGGTAAAGGTAGAACACCATATATAGGTAGAGTAAAGGTAAAGGTAGAGCACCATATATAGGTAGAGTAAAGGTAAAGGTAGAGCACCATATATAGGTAGAGTAAAGGTAAAGGTAGAGCACCATATATAGGTAGAGTAATGGTAAAGGTAGAGCACCATATATAGGTAGAGTAAAGGTAAAGGTAGAGCACCATATATAGGTAGAGTAAAGGTAAAGGTAGAGCACCATATATAGGTAGAGTAAAGGTAAAGGTAGAGCACCATATATAGGTAGAGTAAAGGTAAAGGTAGAGCACCATATATAGGTAGAGTAAAGGTAAAGGTAGAGCACCATATATAGGTAGAGTAAAGGTAAAGGCGGAGCACCATATATAGGTAGAGTAAAGGTAAAGGTAGAGCACCATATATAGGTAGAGTAAAGGTAAAGGCAGAGCACCATATATAGGTAGAGTAAAGGTAAAGGTAGAGCACCATATATAGGTAGAGTAAAGGTAAAGGTAGAGCACCATATATAGGCAGAGTAAAGGTAAAGGTAGAGCACCATATATAGGTAGAGTAAAGGTAAAGGTAGAGCACCATATATAGGTAGAGTAAAGGTAAAGGTAGAGCACCATATATAGGTAGAGTAAAGGTAAAGGTAGAGCACCATATATAGGTAGAGTAAAGGCAAAGGTAGAGCACCATATATAGGTAGAGTAAAGGTAAAGGTAGAGCACCATATATAGGTAGAGTAAAGGTAAAGGTAGAGCACCATATATAGGTAGAGTAAAGGTAAAGGTAGAGCACCATATAAAGGTAGAGTAAAGGTAAAGGTAGAGCACCAGATATAGGTAGAGTAAAGGTAAAGGTAGAGCACCATATATAGGTAGAGTAAAGGTAAAGGTAGAGCATCAGATATAGGTAGAGTAAAGGTAAAGGTAGAGCACCATATATAGGTAGAGTAAAGGTAAAGGTAGAGCATCAGATATAGGTAGAGTAAAGGTAAAGGTAGAGCACCATATATAGGTAGAGTAAAGGTAAAGGTAGAGCATCAGATATAGGTAGAGTAAAGGTAAAGGTAGAGCACCATATATAGGTAGAGTAAAGGTAAAGGTAGAGCATCAGATATAGGTAGAGTAAAGGTAAAGGTAGAGCACCATATATAGGTAGAGTAAAGGTAAAGGTAGAGCACCATATATAGGTAGAGTAAAGGTAAAGGTAGAGCATCAGATATAGGTAGAGTAAAGGTAAAGGTAGAGCACCATATATAGGTAGAGTAAAGGTAAAGGTAGAGCACCATATATAGGTAGAGTAAAGGTAAAGGCAGAGCACCATATATAGGTAGAGTAAAGGTAAAGGCAGAGCACCATATATAGGTAGAGTAAAGGTAAAGGTAGAGCACCATATATAGGTAGAGTAAAGGTAAAGG